TAAATAACAGATTTTTCTTTCCATGCATCTTTTATTATTCAAACATTGTTCAAATTTAAGAGCTAAAGGGTTACTGCCAGTTCCAACCGTAAGTACATTACTTTTTTCCGAGAAAAATCTGCATTCTTTAGTAGGATTACAGTTCATGTTCAGATGGTTATGCTCAGTGTGGCAGACAGCTCACATGATAATGTTGTATTTAAAATGATATATGATGTTGATGTTGTATGATGATAATGTTGTATGATGATAATGTTGTATGATGCTAATGTTGTATGATAATGTAGTATGATGATAATGTTGTATATGGTAATGTTGTATGATGATAATGTTGTATGATGATAATGCCAGGGTACCCCACGCGGAAGTCGTCTGGGTCGCATCCACACCCACAGGGGTTGGTGTTTTTTACTTTCTAAACTCATCTGATCCTTTAATGACGGTCTTGTACTGTCAATGGATGGTAAGGCATATTATACGCCAAGGGACTGATTTATGATGCCTCTGGCCATTAAAAGCAAAGAAAACTTCCTCAGCACGATTTCAGTACCTCCCAAGTACACAATACTCCTTCATCGTTTCGTTTTACGACTGGTCACCAAGAAATGATTGATGAGAAACTTCCCCTTGTAAATGACACAGACCAGACTATAGTAACAGTTAGGCCAAAATATTATATTGGCAGTTGGAAGTATTTGGGCTTCAGAGAGAATGTTTCTTCGAATAGAGCTTCCTCGACTATTTGAAGTTTGTTAAGGTCCATACAGATATAGTAGTATTTCCTTGGGACGACTTTGTGCACATGTTRACAACTGCCTTTTTTACACAACAATGTACGAAGATGTAAAGGCAGTAAGAAAGAGGCCTGATTGCAAGTTCCGTTAATATGAACTGCTTCGCTTGTCATGGCTTAAAAGTGAATTGGCTGCAGCCACGTTAAGATGGGACGAAGACAAAATTGACGTCAATGCACAAGAAGTAGCTTATGGCAATGAGGTAAAGGATGCAGCAATTCAAATACTGGACGACCTGGAGCAAGAGATACTTAATTATAGACTTACRAGAGCGCAATTGTGGCAGGTGTAGGAGGGCCTTCAAGAAAGATGGACCAGGCCCTGGTCTGCATCAAAGAGCTGGAGTTGCCACCCGTCAAAACAGATATCCTTAAAAAAAATACAGATACAGACTCTACACTAGATGACTGGATTCTGGAGTCTGTTGAAAAGTTTTCAAAAACGTTTGCTGTAGAGGAAACCTTGACAAAAAGTCCAAAACGTCCACCTTCACCAATTTTTGAGTAAAGATCGTCCATACAACAGCGTCAATACATACGATTATAATCATTTCTCCTTGGTACGCATTGGTATTTTCACTAGATTTACGAAAATTTCAAGATGAAAAATGTCAAACAGCATAAAGGCTGTGTGTAAGTTGTCGCTCTGATTGCAAGCGATTTCAAAACAAAATGATGTCAAATAGCATCCAATTTACATTACTATAACAACAGACACCAGAGCGTCTTGTTTCCTAAGATATACCAACGACAAAGTTGGTTTTSACCAAATTTCAGTCGCCATTTTATCATCTCCATGTCAGTCACCTTGTATGACTTTTAATCATATTTTAAGCACATATACTCCAGAAATTTAACTTGAATACCACTTGCAACACACATTCGATGCCAGACTTGATGTTCGAACCTAATCAATTATTTGTTGAAAAAGAAAATGCATATTTCCTGAACGTAAATTTATGTAAACATCTCGACCGAGAACGAGCTGCGAAACAGTGACTGTAGCTCAAGCGTATCGTGCATGCGCGATGAAATGGCCACTAACGATACTGCCAAAGTATCGTAATCTTGAAACAACACAGGGAAACCACAACACTGCGCCTTCAACAAATTTGCTCAATCGTGCAACTGCCTTATTTATTATGTTTCTGAATCTAGTTTTCAATCGGTTTGCACCTATGCTTATGRCCTAGTAAAAACCAGACTTAAACCCATTTAGTTTATTTTAAGAATATCAATCATTGCATTTGTCTGATACTAATCATCAGAAATTGGCCAAATCCAATGTTACAGTGGCGATATACTCACGCGGTTTAAGCATGAACTCCCGGCGGATGTCCAGAGTGGTATAAATAGATTGCATAGTACAATTTACTTCGTAGTCGTGGTATATGGATAGCTTCCCAATAATTGAGTCAAACAAAAATTTGTTCCACAACTCGTGTAATTTCATCAATAATATTGTAATCGTTAAGAAACAAATTATAAACTTTAAAACCCCGTGACATTTAAGCATTGGTCGGGGTACACAGTCCCCTTTTCCGAAATTATTGCCACAAGCGAAAGTGGCCGAGATAAATATATTAAAAATGTAAACTAAAGGTTGCAAAACTGATACACAATCCGGAACAATTGTAACTGGTACGAGACTGGAAAATCTTAGCCGAGAAAGAGCCCGTCAGGCGCGCGTACTATCTAAGTCATATAATATATGATATTTCCATCCAAACATTTTTCGATGAAGTATGGTGATACTAAAAAATTATATTGCGGCTTAGCAGAATTGCGGCTTTGGACACTTATTAACCCAAAAATTTGGGAGAAAGGGGTGGGTAGTTTTTGGTCAGTAGTACTTTTTCAAATGGGAGAAACTTTCATGAAAATCATTAGTAACACTTCGAAACTCACTCTGTTATTCATGAAATGCTGGTTTGAAAAGTTTCATAAAGTTTGACCTTTTTATCCGCAATGCCTAGTTTTATAATGAGATTTAAAAAAATACGCAGTCTGCATGTGACTCAGGCATAAGAGATTTAATAGGAACATAGAGATCTAGAATAGGACATAAGACAGGGTGCAATTTGAAATCTCTTTTATATTATTTGCAAAATATGAGATAAACGAAGATAACAAGATACCTTGTAATTCCATCCTAAAAAAGAACGGACCAGTGAAAAATTCTTCTGACAGTCATTGTTGTTATGTAGATGTTTCACGCTTTTATGCAATGATGTCTAGAGTGAACGCACTAAATTCATCCAACAAATATTACTACGCTACTAAATAGTTTTGATAACAATAAACAGAGTATTAACATAATCATCATTATCAGTTTTGCACTATTTTTGTTTCACGGATTAAGTGAGTTCACTCTACTTATTGCTGTATTTCAATGTATGATCAGTGAAATTCAAAAATCTGTATGTATCTTTATTAATTTCTATAGTTCAACACGATCAAAATAGAGGTTTAAATACAATATATCATTATCATTGCTAATATTCTTTTTAAATTGCCTAGCACTAGTACTTTATAAAAAATTATTGGAGATGAYATCCCATAATTTCTGATATATTTTATATATACTTCAAGTATGAGCACAAAACTTCATCATTTCTGCATATTGCTGTATTTAGATTATATAAAACAATATATTAATTAACAATGTCAATTATGTAGATGATATAAAACAGTATATCAATAAGATATAGTTTACTAAGATATAGTAGAGTACAAACAATAAAACTGTGCAACATAAATACCACTAAATACTGCTAATGCACCAGTCAATTGAAACCCCCGCCCCCGACCCGCGGGGCTAGCGGGGCACTGAACAGAGACGTGACGCAAGATTGCCCCGGGGGTCGGGATTTTGATGAATTGTTTTCGAAGGGGGGCAAAGGGCGGGGATTTTAACGSGCGTTTGAGCATGTATGAGGCTGYAAACTAGAGGTCGACTATCTTGAGAAATACCCTGAAAGCATTCAACCCTGTTTTTTAAAATGTTTATTTTTCTTTGCATTAAAATGTTTTAAAAGAAACTTATTACACGCTTTTCTCTGTCCAGTTACCCTCATGTAGTACGCAAATGAGTACACAGGATTATACAAAAATTAGCCCTGTGTATCACAGAAAATTTGATGGAAAGACCAAAATAGCGGGTCAACATAAGCGGGGATTTTACAACAATGAATGTGCCCCGACTAGTGGGGGAAATGTCTTATTTTAACACCACTCAAACGTTAAATTCCCCCGGTATTTCCCGGGGGGGCGGGGGTTTCAATTGATTAGTGCATAAATTCTGCTAATTCTATTTTAGTTTTTTTTTCTATCTAGTTTTCTATTGTTTAATTAGCACTATTTTATAGTAAATAGTGGAAAGTGTTGCACTCTTAGTAGTGTTTGTACTCTAGCATTGAATAATACAAAAGCTTAAATATTAATAAATGACGAAGCGAGTTAACTTGCTGTGGCTACTTGTTCCCGGAAGGGAAGTTTGAGTCTGCCTAAGGAGATTTTGAGCGCCATTTCTGGGTGTATCTGTTCCCCTAATGGAATTGAAGAACGCCATACGGCCAGCACTGAGCCAAGTGAAGCAATCGGAAGRTTGTTGGCAAACAAACCATATAAAGCTCCCCAGAATCTAAAATATGTTTTACAAATACAAATTTGACTGCAAATGCATAGAAATTTGTGCCTAGTTCTATACACAAAATATTTTGAATACATTATAATGTTYTAATAAAGAAAAAAAACTCACCTTCGAAAGCACAGAGAATGCACATGGTCAAGCCAAATCGATTTTTCCCTCTCAAATTTCACTCGTCTGGATTTCGTAGATGACTTCTTACAGACTTGTAATACGAGGTAAGATTGCGAGAAAAGATGTCAAATGGGGATGTAGAAATAAAAACTCAGTCAGTTGTTCAAATTTCAGCGTCAAGTGTATTTTCGAATGTAATTGGTTCTAGTATTCAATTTGTGAATTCTTCAGTATCTATTCCAAGAAATCATTTATCATTGAGAAAAGTGAAAATAATGTAATTTAGTGGAAATATCGTGAAATCGCACTCTACCACTGAGATACTCTATATTTTCATTTTCATCGAAATAAACAAAACATTCAAAGTCTATCATATACTAGGAGTAGCCATACATGGCCTATAAAGGTCGACAGTTGATAGTCAACGGTGATTCAAGTACATACTTGTTTGCTTTGTCTTCCCTCATATCCACTTGATAAATTACTCCATCTTCTCCACAAGTCAGAAACAGCCAAGGTGACCCTGGCTCGATGCTCAGCTAAAATGTCAAAAAACAATACAAGGAGTGAAAATAGTGCATAGGTGGCAATCTTCATTCCACTGTAAAATATATATATAGTTATTTCAAAAGGTTTTCACTGTTAGATCCACTTTTTAACTCGGAGATTGCGTTAGCAATCGAAGAGTCATTGGAGGTGAACGATCTGTTACTCACTCATTTTCCTGTAAACTGTTGCTATAGTAACTATGAGGTTAGCCTCCTCCGCAAGCATCACAAAGAATCACAGGCTTCCTTTTTTGGGGGGGAGAGGGGAGMGGAGTCAAAAGAGGGAGAATGGGGGCGAGAAAAGGGAATCGTCACTAGTCCCTAACGGCCATTYTGACTGTTACAAAGGGAGCCCAAAGGAAGAAAAAAGAGTTGTCTGGGGAGGAGGCTACTATGAGGTAGTATTTACACCTATTTCCAAAAACGTTGTCGTCACCACGACACAGTTCACAGTCTTGAGCCTGCAAAGAATCTCGGGGTTTCCATGCTTAATTATATATTCAAAATATTTTGTGGTTTGAATTCAATGGCGGCAAACACTACTAATATACTATTGCGGCCCATCGAACAAGRCTCGCCATGAGACARTTTCCTTGAAATGAATACAGCTATTTCAAAAAACGTTGTCGGAGAGAATGGCGATTGGTTATTGGTGATTGCACGACCGAAAGGGAATATGGTTCTTGAATATGTCGTACCAATCATCAGTTCTGTAATCCAATTCAGAGTTTTGACAAAGAGAGTAATCAATGGAAATGAAATCAGTTGGAGTAAATAAAAGAATAATCATTTCCTTCATTGCTCTCTTTGTTATTGAATTTTTTATCACGACGCGCGTAGCTATTTGTAAAATCGTGAATTGGCTCATATCAATAATGCCGGCTCCATATAGCAACGACCTTCGTTGGAGGATTATTTGGTTTGTACACTTTCTGCAGCATTCCGTGTCTGAGGCCTCATTTTACTTGGGAGTCTCAGAAAGGACAGTTGAGAGATACATTTCGAAATACCTGACTACTGGCGGTGTAGAGCCAAAGACTATAGGCCGTTCTCGTGGTA